ACAGCTTTATGATGCTAGCATTTACATGTGCTATCAAACAATAGGTGCAATACCCTGGAGTGCAAGAATAATACAATAACATTTTTCTAAACGTAGACTAGAATGGCCAAGTCAGAAAAGCAGACTCCTATCCTCATTTTGGCAGGATGCATTGACAGATTACATTAGCAGACCATAAAGCACATTTTTGCCCAGCAGAGTGCTAAAGTCAGAATGCATTTAGGCTTATTTGAGAACAAACTCCTGAATCCACTTACCTACAGAGAAGGCTTGGAGAGAATGAGATCATGGGATGCTGTACAGACAAAACAGCTGCAAGAATCTTCCCCAGCAGAACTCACCTCTAGTGGTGGCCACATATTCAGCAACATTATACAAAACTTGCCAACAGTGCATCACTTCAAAGCCAGGTGCTGCAGGATTCAGAGTCGTCTGCAACAGTATTCTATCCTCCCTACAGAGCGAGACAGGAGGCACTCAAGCGCTGCAAGGCAGGAAAGGCGTTTGAATGCAAAATTCATCAAGATTCTTGCAATAAAGAAGCTGCAACCAAAGAAAGGGCAAAAAGCATGGTCCTCATGCCACCATTACATACTCCAACAGCTCTCTGCAATGCTGCTTTGGAAGTTTCTATAAGCAAGATACCACTACCCAGCTTACTTTTGTCTCTTCCAAAGTAACCAGCATGTTGCGCTCATTTTTTTTTTTCTTTCAACAGCCCCATTTTCAACTCTCACTTAAATCAGCTGGAGTCCTGGCTTTGATTTCAGTGGAACTAGTTCAGATTGAAATGCCTCAAGCTTACCAATATTTAAGCATATAAGTAAACGTGTAGGCAAGTAGTCCAGTTGGCTTCAGTAAGACTCCTCACATTTAGGTAAAACTATGCATGAGTAGCCATGTTAAAGCCAACGGGACTGATTTCCCGTATGAGATACCAAAGGTAACTCTGTGTCCTCAGCTGAGGACCACGCAGTTCTTGATTTTTAGTTTAATTTATTAGATGTGTGTTCCCGTTCCCACTAAAGGCAGGTTGCAGAACAGCTTACAATAATATACAAGATAAAATTTTAAAATAGATTTCATAGACATCAGGGCTAGAAGGGACCTCGGAAGATCATCAAGTCCAGCCCCCCACCCAAAGGGCAGGACATCAGCTGGGGTCATAGGATCCCAGCAAGATAAGCATCCCATTTGCTCTTGAAGGTGTTCAGCGTAGGTGCTTGAACCACCTCCGATGGCAGGCTGTTCCAGACCTTGGGGGCGCGGACAGTAAAGCAATTCTTCCTTATGTCCAGCCTAAAACGTTAAAAGAAAATATGGGACAACTAAGGATCTGGCATAAGGGAAAATTGCTCAATACAGACCTCATCCAAAACCCATTGTAATCAATGGAGAGACTCCTGTTCACATTCAATATAGGAAGGAAACTGAAAACAGAAGAACCAAAGTGTGAATACTTAGTTCTCATCAGCAACCAAGTAAAGGATCAAATGGTGGGTCTAAAGCCTTCTGAAACAAGAACAGCGATATCCCAAGTGTCTCATAATCCAAGTAGTCTGGCAGGGAGGAGAGACAGTAAGTTTTTACATTTAGGTCATTTAAAGAGAAAATGAAACCAGGGACACTTGTAAGTTGTAGAAGTCAGTCAGAGAGGGAAGAGACTCGATTTACAATTCTAGCACATTTTTATTTTGTGTAAATTTATAAAGACAACAATCCTAATCACGATTGTCACATTTTACAGCACATACCATTACAGTTGCAAACAAAAACTTCACACAAAAACTAAGCACTAACAATAGTTTAAGTCACTCTTTCTGCGATTGTCTTATCTAGACTAAACAGCATTATGCTAACACTGAAGAAAAAAAATAGTTCACTATAAAACAGTGATAGAACATTTTTATAAAATATATTCCATTCCAATAGCTTTTCTACATACTGTATACTATAAAACTCTCCCACAAAAATTAGTGTCTTTAAATATACATATTTAATCTGAACTGCACCAAGATTAAAAACAATTAAAAATATTGATGATTTTTACATTAACTTCACAGTATTTGTTTGTAGTAGAAGACAAATCCAGTGTTTAAAATTCAGAGCAGTAACTTTCTCTATAGAGAAAGAAACTACCCCACAGTGAAATATTTCATGAAAAACAAACCTAAGTGTGCAATGTTTTTAGTACTTCCTTGCAGAGTAATGAACCATTTTGAAGACATGCTCAAAGCTATTGCAACTTTAAAAAAAAAATGCAAAAACAAAGATAGCCAAAAAAGGCACCTTAAAAAAAAAATAAGTGCAAATGTCTTTACTTTAGAAATTCAAGCTATGAAGTTCAGGGATAAAAACACTACATTATGAAAAAGGACAGTGCATGAATGATGCAGTAAAAGAAAAACCCAGCGTGCTTCTTACTTTTGCCCCATTTTCACTGAAGTACAGAGCATGCTCATAGCATTAATTGAATTAATTATTTCTAGGCTAAAGTTAGATATAAACTTGTTTCAACTTTTCCCTGTCCCCATATACTAATGATGTCTTTTATGGCACATTTTAAATGATTATTTGATCTTTCAAAAAATATTATGAAAAGTAGTGAAAAATGAAATTCAACAAAAGTATCACAAAAATGCAAAAACTAGGAAAAACGTTACAAGCATAGATAAAACCACTACTGTATTAGTTGTTCACTTTACAACATGAAAAGAAATTGCTGTAAGAGTTTAAAGTGTAGATTAACTTTGTTTCTAAAAAAAAAAAAAACCCAAAAACATTTAACAGTAATAATTCCACTTCAAAAAATTCTAATAAATACTATATCAAGTATCATCAGGAAAAAAAATAATTTAATTTTAGTAGAAAGAAAAATAACTTAATTTTAGCAGATTTTGTTCAGTGCTATTTCTGATCACAGCAAAAAAGTGATTAAGTAGAATAAGACCACAGTACCAAATCCACTTATGTTCCAAGATACAGTACTCTCCCACATCTTCCACATGTAACAGGTTCAGAAAAAAAATATTTTACAGTGAAGTTAGACTAAAAAAAAGATAACCTATAAATAGAGTAGAAATAAAATTTCACATTACATGTACATTCATAGTTCAAGAGATGAATAATCATAATAATAATAGAGGAGGTTGCAACAAGTGAAATTCTGAATAATAAAAAAGTACTTTCACAATCAATCAATACCAGAATTACACTGGTGAAACTATATTGTTTACATAGGTAGTGCTTACTTAACACATTTTAAGGGGAAATGCTGAAGAATTCCTTCCTTTTTTTAGGCTGAACTCTGGTACTTTTAAGTACAGTATTTAAGAAAATCACTTCAGTGCTTCATATTTTTTAAAAATAAATTAAGCTTCAAGATACAATTCCAGGAGTGTCAGTAAAAGTGATGTAATAATGATTTTTATTTTGCTGATAAGGGAGTGGGTAGAAGTTTAGCCCAGTAGAATGATGTTCAAAATCCACAGGTATTATAATTAGCTTGGCTTCACATAAATTGTATCTTGAATGGATACTTCAGCTGGAAAGGCATGATCTGATATTTACTGACATGCACAGACCAAAGGATGTTCTATTAGGCAGATAATTGAATTAACTTATTTGGAATTAAATTACTTGTAATTACAGGCAGTCTCAAATTTTAAAAACAAAGGAAAAAGTTGACTTTTAGTTTCTGACTGGCCAAGCTAACTATCCCAACTGGCTTGAATTTGTGCCATCCCATAGAAATCTGAAGGACTGCACAAAATTGGCACAGGGCAACTACCAGTGTTAATAGAATATAAGCCCAGAAACCCCCCAACTAAGATCAGCAACTCGGACTACAAAATTTAAAAGGAAAAAAACAAACAAGCTATAATGATACCAAACATGTTAAAAGACCCTATGAACAACTCAGAGGTCCCAGTAATCTCGTATCTTTAAAAAAAAATTAAAAAAGGAAAAAAAATTATTATACACCACCCCCATTTCCTCCCATGGACACTGTGTGGCAGCTCTTAAATATTCCCCAGCGTATGAGCAATGTTACATCACTTATTACAGACCCAAGCTTGCACCCCCGTTGTACATTTACTGAGGCATTTTTCAATGGGATCAAAACTGGCCCTTCCATGCGAGATTGATATAAGGATGGAAAAGCATCCTCATTTTTCATATGTACTCTACTACATACTCTTCTGCAACTAAAGGAGTGAATATATAAATGGACAGAAGCATTTTTCTATCCACATATAATTTCAAAAGTGGTTTAGTGCCATTCAACAGACAAGTCCATGGAGGAGGATGGGTGGGGAAAGAAACGTGAATTTCTCTCTTAGTAGTCTAAAGTCGGAAAGCAAGACTTTTCAATCAGGGGCCAGCATCGACTGCAGAACTCTTCCGATATTTTAGCAAGCATCAAAAGCCAAACTGTACCACAGACAATTTGAGGAACCTTCTTAAAAACTGGGCCAATTTAATACCACTCCTAGTTCTAAATTTTGAGTGGCTGTATTCCCATCTTGAGACATGTGGAGTTAAGTGGGCAAAATCCCTTCTGCTCAGAGTAAAACCATGGTTCAGCTCTGACATGTTTGTATACAATACATATAATATTTAGGGAACGTAATGGTATCAGAAAAAGCAGATCTTGGCAATTTTCTTTTTTTTTTTTTTAACTAACTAAAAGGGGAAAAAACAGGAGCACAAAAGTATTACAGACAGAAGCAAAGAAAAAAAAAGTCACTGCAGAATAACTTAAGATCATTTTCACATGGATGCTGTAGAAGTCACATACCACAGGGGAGCAAGAGAAGACCTAGGAGACTGAGTTTAGGGCAAGGATTGGGGCTAAAAGGCCTCTGAAGTGCATGCCTATGCATCTTTAAACATCATGACCTGAAGTGAGTATCACCAAAAAGGCAAAAGAAAAAGTTACCTTTTTGTTTTCTTTAAAAAAGTGTTGGGTGGAGAGGGGGAGAAAAAGAAAGGGGCAGAGGGAAGAGAGAGGGAGTATTAAGGGCATATTAAATAATAAAAAAAACAAAACAAAAAACAAAAAACCAAAACCTCATCTCAAACCACCAAGGACTTGACAAGGCCACAATGAAATTTTCGAATGTGTCTGTATAAATCACCAGATTGTGTAAAGCGTCTCTCACACCATTTGCACCCATGCGGTTTCTCTCTCGTATGTACGACCGCATGACGGCTGAGATTGTGGGAGTACTGGAAGCTCTTTCCACACTGGCCACAGGTATAAGGCTTTTCACCCGAATGAGTCCTTTCATGTCTCTTTAAGGTGTACATGCATGAAAAAGTCTTCCCACAAAGCGTACAGGTGGGCACTGACCCATCAGGGGACAGCCTGGTCCGTGAGCCATCCTTATCTCTGAAGTGAGAGCTCAGGTGCAGCTGCAGGACGTGCGGGCTGGGAAACACTTTGCTACAGAGGGGGCAAATGCATATGTGCCCGGGGGGCACGAGCACACCTGAGGAGGAGATATCAGAGGAATCCATGTCATCTTCACTCTCATCCCTGTCTTGATCTATATCATCCTCCCTCGCATGAGAATTGCCGTTTCCTGTGAACATGTGTCCTAACCCTGTCACTAGGCTCTTGGCTGAATTCCCAAAATGCTGACTCTCTGGACTCCTTGCTTCACTGTCCTCCTGATCTGACAGCAAGTCTTGTTCATCTTTAACAAGTGGCTCGGTACCCTGCTGCTGGCTGTCGGAAGCCAGCTGTCCAAAGACGTAGGAGGGGTGTAAAGAATCTCTCCCAGGCACAGGCTTGAAAGACAAATCCAGAGCACAGTCCACATCACTTGAAGCCAGGGTATGGTTAACAGACCTTTGGGACAAAGGTCCTGTGGAACTATTGACATTAGCTTTTGTTTTTCCAGCTGCTGCGGTGCACGATTCTGCCTCTGCAGACACAGAACTGACACTTATAAGATCGGAGGACCAGGCGGGGTGACCAATGACCCGCTCTTTGCATGTTGCTCTCTCGTATTCTGCAGCACTGAATTTCTGTTTGTTTCCTGGGTCAAACTCATGGACTCCCGGGTCTAAAAAATGCTCCTCCTTTTCCAAATTAGCTGCCTCGTCATTAATCTTTTCTTCCGGACATAATTCTTTATCTTTCAGCTTGCCCTTGCAGACTTTCACAATGTCATACATGTGAAGGTAGCTAGCTGCAGCCAGCACATCCTCAACTGGAAGACTGTTGAACTCGAGCTTTCCTTCATACATGAATTCGAGCAGCAGACCGAAGGCTGGGGCCGTGACAATGTCACTGTTCAGATGCACAATATCCCTTTTGTCTAACTGGTCCCTGTAGAAAAGATGGAAGTACATGCTGCAAGAAGCAAGAACAGCTCTGTGAGCTCTGAATTGAGCTTCTCCAACTAAAACAGTACAGTCACACAGGAAGCCCTGGTGACGCTGCTGACTCAGACACTGCAGCAACTGGCGGCTATGGTCTGGAAACTCCATTCTTCCTTCATAACCTGTTCAAAACAGGAAAAACTTGAATGCCACTGTAAACTCAAGCCTCCCAGCAGCTGTAACAAACAGATCGGCTTTTGGGGAACACAAGCCAGAGAAACAGCCTTGGAGATACCGTTCCCCGTTTGTTGTCCAGAATAGTTTTAATGCACGCGCGCACACACACAAAACACCACCCAAACAAACTGCAACT